ATTAGAAGTGGATTTTATATCATTGGTTTCCAGTTTTATGAAACTACAGTGCTCTCATTAAAACAGTGTGTATATGAGGATTTAGGTATAATCATTAGACAATAAAAACTATAATTGGAAGTCTTTTGTGCTCATCCCTGCTGAAAGAGGAATTTGTGCTGTTTTATGGTAAGCAATTGCAAATTTCAAGGCATTTTATTTTTCTTTCTTAAATTATAATTGCATTTTCCCCCGGCATATATAAAACTAAACATAAGGCATGATCTGGCCACTGTTTCTTTATGAAAGAATGCTCTGGGGGTAGAAGTGATAGAAGGCAATAAAATCGATTGGTGAAATTTTCAATATCGGCTTAATATTATTGGTGCAAACGTAAAATTTAAATACATAGGTTCAAATGCACTTGTTTTTACACGGGTTGTGACTGATTCAGTTTGGGGGGCAATACTCCCCGACCACTCGTCTGAAAGAAACACTGTATCTGGCCCCTGATGGTGTTCTATAAACTAAATTTGGCCCTCGAGATGTATTAGGTTGGCCAACGCTGATCCAAATGCAATTGAACAGTGTATGCCAAATGTACTATTTCCACTTATTTCTTATGAAGTAACTAAACTCCGTGGATTGAGTCCGCAAGTGAACTATACCGACCGAGCGACCGCCGCTTGTCGGCGAAGTTGGTGCCAACTTTAGAGGATAGAGGGTGTCGCATGGTCAGCGCAACGAATCCTCACGGCCATTAATTTCGGTTTTCTAGACCGGAGCCGCTATTTTCTTGAAATAGCTTCTCAATTATCCTCACGAGGCTGAGTGGACCTCGTCCCAGACCCACTACTCAGAAAATTTGGTAGCGCTGGGTATCGAAAATGTAGCACTTTTTATAAGTTCTAAATGGGCCACGGAGGGTCGATGTCTTTCAAAAGGAAGAGAAGAGTGGCCAAATATTTCATCTAAACATCATTTGTAAATTTTTACACAAACCACAGTACATCAAACTCTTTGTACACAAAACACAATATAGGTTGGCCAGTGAGACAATGAATCCGATTTCTAAGGTCGTTAATATTTGCTGACACAGTTACAATCAATACCAAAACTCCAGTAATAGAGATGTATTGATGTAAGTAAGGTGATCTTGGAGGACATGCTTGTGCAGCGTCCTTAAACAAGCCATCTGTGAACATGGTTTCATCCACGGAACTTCTCATACAATTGTGGTGGTGTGATTTCATGTACCGTGTGAGCTCCTTGCCGTTGTGTATCTAGGGTTGCCATAGGGGAGAACTCGCAAAATACTGTATCTTGAAAATATAAATTAAAAAAAAAAGATCATGGGTTGCTTTTTCTACTCATAAATATAACCGCACTTGCCGCATTCAAACCAGTATTACCCAGGTAGCTGACGCGAATTATGGAACTTATAATCGTGCGGTTCTTAGTTAAAATCTCAACCAGAGGCCAGTTATCTACCCTGAGTTTTATAGCATTTTTATTCCCTCTATACAAACGCCAAGAGAGTAGCTTAAATAAACGCCATGTCCACCCTCAGTCCTCCTGACTGAACGTAACCGTTCTTATTCGAGGTACGTAACCTCTGCAGTTGAAACAGCGTTGTAAATTAACTGAATATGCAAACAAAAATATCACTTCAATAGTTTTACATTGGTCGTAATCGTCCTGTCCTCATACCAAAATATGATATACAGTAATTTAGCTACGTTTTTAACTATGATCGCCATGTAGTAAAACATACAATAGTTCAGAAAGTCACGCGATGCAGAAGAAAACTGAGGCCATGAATATTATCGATGCAAAAAAGAACAATCCATATCGTGTAAAACAAAAGATAAAAAACAGTTCGCGTGGAAATAAAAGTTCACGAAACTAAGGGGAATACAAAACTGGATAAGGGCAAAAGACAATTGTGCACGTGAAAATTGTGAAACGAAAATGGTCATGCATATGATAACCGTGAAAAGAAAACACTTGTGCACATGAAAATTGTAAAAATGAAACAATTGTGCATATAAGAAAAACGTGAAAAGAAAACCGTCGTGCATATGACAACCGTGAAAAGAAAACAACTGTGCACATGAAAATCGTGAATAGAAAACAACTGTGCAAACGAAAATCACACAATACAAAAATAAAGGATCTTGAACGTGAAAATATTGCAATAAAACACAACGGTGCACATGAAGACCACGCAATGCAATTAAAAATTTAAAGTAGGCATCTATATGGAGAACTGTACATATAAAAAATCACATATGGTGCACATAAAAATCATACAATAGGAAGAAACAATGAGATACATGAAGATCGGCCGCGCCATATCTCAACTGTTACTCGCTGGCTTCTCACCGCGGCGGCCCGGGTTCGATCCCGGGTCTGGTCAAGTGGGACTTGTAGTAGACAAACTGGCGCTGGGGCGGGTTTTCTCCGAGTACTTCGGTTTCCCCTGCCAATCTTCATTCCACCAAATTCTCCATCTTCATAATCACCCGGGGCAGGTACAATAGGCCAATCAGTGGCCGCCGTGCCGAGTGGACCCAGTTGGACTCCACCCCCTCCCCCAGTAAGCGAATTAAAAAAATTACATGAAGATCAAGCAATGCAATAAAAATTGTGCATATGAAATCACGCAATCCAAAATACATCCTGCACATGAATATGATGCAATACAGAAAATGCATATGAAAATGACAGCACAGGGAACAATTGTGCACATGAAAGTCATACAATGCAGAAAAGAATCTTCAGTGCAGGCTGACCTTGAGTGGATCAGTGCTGAGAACTGTCACTTCGTGGCCACGAGCAACCAGCGCCTTCATGATTGCTTGAAACACAAGTTGGTGGCTTAAGGAAGGAGTGGGAAAGATACCTAGGATCTTCGCACCGTCACTCTGAAATCCTGTGCACAGCAGCAGTGCCAGTAGAGAGTACGTCCACTTCTGTCCCATTTCAGTTCACGCTATAAAACAGAGAAACGCAAATTACTCAGTCGCCAAGCAGGAAGTGTCGGTTTCACGCGGCTCAAGAATATGGGGGGCGCTCTCAGACGATTTCGCTGTATTGTCACCTTGTGTAGGGGTTGTGCGTAACTTATAGACGGGTCCTGGATCGGATGAATAGATTTATTGACACCTTAGGCATTCAACTCGTATTTACAGTAATACAACGTTATTGTTGATGTACACACTTTACGGTTCACCGTTACACACCCATTAGGGTTCTCAATCTTTACTAGTCGTATCCTGGCAAAAAAAATATAACAGTCTCACTGTGATGTAAAATCTTCTTTCCACAGCCTAATTCGATTCTTACAATTATTCTGCAACTGTCAACTCAATTCAGTTCCTCTGTTTCCAGCCTCATATCCCGGAAGTCTTCCGTCTCAATTCTTCTTAAATGAACTCTTCTTTATAAGAACTTAGCAAGGACCACGCAGAAAACACAGCCTCTCTATTGCTGGAAAGGCGTGTTAACGGCGCTGTTGTATAGCAACGGAAGTTACTCGATTGTTGCTTGAGTATTCGCTGCGGGGGGAATGTGTTTATTGAGTCGTTGCCTAGCAATAACGTTTACTCTGACTTCATTATACCGGCTTTCGGACGTCATGTCACGGTATAATTTATTAACCATTTCTGTGCTGTCATTGATGTTCTGCGTTGGCCGAACTGACAGCAAAATCCTGGGGAAGACACTAGGATCTTAAAGATATAAAATTGCAAAGCACCTCTTCAGGTATGTAAACAGGTGATAGTGGTTCGGAGCGAGATCAGGGATGTAAGGAGGATGGTCAAACAACTCCCAGTTGAAATGCTCCAGCAGTGCTGGAGTGCGAGCAGCTGTATGAGGACGCGCGTTGTCATGGAGAAGCACTACACCGTATGTCAGCATTCCACGCCTTTTTTCTGAATGGCCGTATGAAGTTATTCGTTAGTGTTTCGCAATACACTTCTGACGTTATTGTGGTCCAGATGCCATTAGCTTTCTTGAAGGCAGACAGCTCTTCTTTATACTTTTTTCGGCTTGTTTGGTGAATGTGTCTACAACCTCTGCTTTGAGTGCTCTTTGGTTTTAACATTCGCAAATGAAACCCAGGTTTTATCACTTGTTACTCGTATGATGTGACTGAGAAATCCAGCACTATCTTTATGGTATCACTCTATATAGTCGAAGTCAAAGGCATTCTCTGCTTTCGTGTGCATCCTTGAGCATTTTCGGAACCCTTTTTGCTCAGAACTTGTGATAGCCTCGCGTAACTGCGATAACATTACAGAACAGTGTGTGAAATTTGTGGAAATTCACAAGAAATTTCTGGAATTGTGAAGCGCCATCTTTCACAGATTTCTTGTCAAAATGCTAAACGAGAGCATCACTCACTACAGATGGCCGACCACTTCGCTCTTCATCGTGAATATTTATCGCCCATATATGAACATTCTACATCACTGTCTTACAATTCCTGCACTTATTATATTTTGGCCGTAAACCGCGCATAATTCACAATGCATCTCCACAGCACTCATGTTTTTGTCGTGGAGAAAGCGGATAACAGCGCGAAATTGGCAGCTGGCGGGATTATCAATCGTAGGCCACATTATGACTCGCTCTGTAGAGACAAGAACAAACACTAGGTGACCAGTTATGTGGTGGTTTAAAAGGCAACGAGCCATGTGTCGCTACCTCGCATGCGCAAGCTCTCCCCCGCTCCTACATTAGTCGCCTAAAATAAACGGAGGTTTCTTTCCAAATTGTCCTCGTACTATGGGAACGTCATGGGACAAATATGAAGCACAAGAAATACTGAGGATCCTTGACTACACTCAGGCAAGCAAAGGGACTCATACAAGGACCCTCTGCTAAAAGAGAGAAGGAACTGTTGAAGTTAAACAGGAACCAGCTACGATGGGTGGTGGGACTACTTACAGGACATTGTCACCTTAAAGGACACCTCTTCAAACTGGGACTAAGTGACAGTCCCACTTGTGAGAGGTGTCAAGAAGAAAATGAAACAGCCTCACATATCCTGTGTGAATGTGAGGCTCTAGCTTATTTAAGGTTACGTCACTTGGGTCAGTACTTTATGGAACCAAGTGACTATTTCGACGCCCCCACGTACAAAATCCTACGTTTCATTCGAAGCGCATGATTACTGAGGGGATAAACAAAAGGGGAGGACTTTATGATCACTGTAGGTCGCGGTGCAAGGGCCGAGAAGGCCCACCCCTTATACATTCATTCATTCATTCATTCATTCATGGAAACGTCATAGTCACTTAATGACTTAGATCGTTATGTCGTTAGAAATTTACTAGATTTTCAACGTTATTATTATTGTAATTATTATCAATATTATTATTGTTATTATGTTCTACAGCCTTTTGTTGGGCCTTGGAGGCTTTTTAAGTTCCTCGATCTTTTACACAGTCTGTAGGACTCCTTGGATGGGGGAACAGCCTGTCGCAAGACCTCTCTACCTACACACAGAACAACACAAACACAGAATGAACGCATACAATACAGACATCCATGCCGTGAGTGGGATTCGAACTCACGATCTCAGCGTTCGAGTGAGCGAAAACAATTCATGCCTTGGACCGTGCGGCCACTGTGATCGGCAGATTTTCGACATAATCCCTGTAGTCATATCCATGTAGGAAATTCAAACACAGTTACACAGGTTTCCTGCAGAAGTTATGAGGCGCCCACTCTCGTACAGTAGATCGGCTTTTATGTAAGGGACAGGAAATAAAGTTTATGGGAATTGCATGAAATGTAGCACGCAAAGAGAGTGGGGAAATAGGTACAATTTTTTGAACGGGAAACAACAAAAGAATAAATTGATTGATAGACCTGATGGTGGGTAAAGAAAAGAACTCTGAAACAATTTTAAAAAAATAGAATGCGACGGTATGAATGTATAAGGAGTGGGCCTTCTCGGCCCTTACACCGCGACCTACAGTGATCTATTGTGCGTAGGTAAGCCGAGTTTAAATTTCTTCTGTGGTTCTCACACAGTTCTGCCCTGCAGCCTCGATCTTGCTAGTTTGTTTATTTTTTAATTGCTAGTGGGGTGGGACTAAGTCCCTTGTACTGCGGCCATTTCTGGCCTAGTGTACCTGCCCCAGCGCCACTTTGTCTGCCACAAATCCCACTTGACCAGACCCGGGATCGAACCCGGGCCGCCGCGGTGGGAAGCCAGCGACTAACCTCTTGAGCTATGGCGCGGCCCTTGTTGTTTATCTTATTCTTTCTTCTTGAAGATGGAGGCAATATATTCATCGGACACGTCGGTAACGTCTACTTCACTACACGGCGTGACATCCCAGGGAATAATTTTACAACCCCCGAACTGAGGGGGAGATATTATTAGAGCCTCTTCTGATTCAAATGACAATGAATTTGATAGAATTGTTTCTATGTGAATTATCTGAAGAATTAGTAACATGAATTATTAACAACATTTGTAGATAATACGATAGAAATGCTGACGACTGAACGTGGTGTTATGGTGTTGATGGACTTCCATTGTTTAGAAAATTACATGTTGTTAGAAACAATACATTGTTTTAGATGACGTGCAATATTTTGCTCCTTCAACTCTAAATTCATATATGTACAATACCACTGGAAATATATCCCAGTAGAATGTTCATATTCCAGTCAATTCAGTAACTTAAAATTTATTTGAAAAGTTTGTCGACTCACCCTATATTGCTGTGAAAACTAAAGAAACACTACCGCACCCTAGTGGTAACTGATCTGAAATGAAACTAACCTGAGAAACAAAGTTCGTGGAAAGAAACTAGTCAATCATTAATTATACCGGCCGATAACCATAGAGCAGTCTGGACGCCCTTGTCGAAACTATGACTCTATGCCCTGTACTTTTATTTTAGTAGTGACGTCCTCCAGGCGTGTGATAAATATACGTTAAACAAAATTGTCACTTTCTCTCTCTCTGTCAAGGTCTGGTGATATCAAGCAGAGCTTTAGGGCGGGTACTCACTACAACGCTGCAACGTGCAACGCAACGGTTGCTGCAACCACGTATGATGTGTACGTTCACCGAACCTAAACTCGGACACTAGTTGCTCCGCAGAGTTCGTAGTGAAGACGTGAGTCATGAAATGTCTCTCCACACTTCAACGAACACACTGCGCGCCGCTTTGTGTTCGCCAGGTGGGTCACAGCGCGCCTCACTGCTACTGTTGCAGTAACGAAGCTCAAGACGTACTCGTGGTTGCAGCAACCGTTGCGTTGCACGTTGCAGCGTTTTAGTGAGTACCCGCCCTAAAACACTGATCTCACTGTTCCGTAAGAAAAGAAAAGCGAGCCGTCAAGGCTGGGATCAAAATATTGTCTTCTTGCCGCCGTAGCGTTTACACACTTCCCAAGATGACGTAGGGATCCGCTAGAAGCAAGCAGGAGATTAGTAATCTTCGCTATCTTTGAAACTAGTATAAAGTGGCAGGACAGGACAGGATAGGACAGGTAAATAAGAAGAACAGAAGAAGGATCTAAAGAACGGTGAGTCAGGTAACTTATAATTCCACTAATACCATACTACACTGCTGAAACAATAACCCTCTGGGCCACAATTTTAACATGACAATAAATAAAGAAACTAAGATAAGAAAAAATGGACAAATAGAGAAATTGCCCTAGAAAGAAAACAAATGTAACCATTATCATTCAAAGCTATAAACTTCATGTGTCAGAATGAGTCCTCACTCAAGGCTAAAATTTACATCAGAGAATGTGCCCTGCGTCACATTCAACATGGCGGTTGATGACTGTCAGATTATTACTCAGAAGCCACAGGGTGTTCGTGGTTTGAAACCACTAAATAACAGCTGCTCTCAAGGCCAGTATAAACAGGTAGAAAAAGGTAAAGTTATTCCTGTAACAGGGCGTGGATGCCCATAGGTTTGTGAGACGTCGAGCCTTCCACATTTTCTAGACAATCGGTTCACAGATGACGGTGAAATTGTTAGCCTTACGCCCTGGCCGCCCTTTACCTCCCAGGAAGGTTCCTGGTACTCGTTTCTATTAGAGGCTGTGTCGACTCCAGGGCCATAGTGCTGCTGGAATGATTAGGCCAACTGAAAAATCCAATTACCTCATCGGGAAACGAACCAGCGACCTTCTGGCTTGCAGAATAGTGCCTCAACCAACTACGCTACCGCGTAGCAGAGGCCAGCTCAAAATAAGTTATCTCACTACACTGTCGTTCCTAAAATATCTTTGCCAAATGTACTGGCATGTCATTAAATAAATTAGTTATAATAACAAACTCATAAATACACTAATTAATTAATTATCAAAAGCAGCGTACTGCAAATCAATGAGACCAATATAGCGGTAGCAATGTACACATATATTCCGGAGGTATTCGATTCGAATCCCGGCTGAGGTTTATCGTGCTTCTCCCCGGTACCTCTCCAAGCATACACCTAGATATTGTCACGTGCAGGGGGGGTACGCGTGACGAAATTAACGGGATCTTGTTCGGATAACTCGACTTATTAGCACTTCGGTTACATTATATCTCTAATTTACAATTAGTGCAGCTCTATCGCCCTTTTCTACACTTTATAATTCACTGTTACACACACACACACACACTAGTCCTCTCCTGGTAATGCAGTTAAAACACATGAACTAGTTCTTCAGATCACTCCAGATATCACTGCACTACACCACACATAAAGACTTCAATGTCCATTAACACTTCAAAACTGAATCCTCACAACTCCTTTCCATGACGGTTTCGTGTCCTTGACTCAAGGGTTCTCGGCTATGACTAGCTACGTCAAAGTCACATTGCGACTTACGGTCAGTCAGTCTGTCTTCCTTTGTGTCGAGCTCCGGCTGGGGCTCATGACCAGATGTTTAACTAGCTACGACTAGCTACGTCTGACTATAAACGACTTTCACTGTCCCCTATAAACCTACAGCACGGACCCCATAGAGAAAACCTATTATTGTAGACGTGCTTACAGTTCCATTGCTTAGAAACGGATTCCATAACCCCGTTGTTCTACTGCTGTCTCGCGCCGACCACACTGAAAACAAGTCGCGTGTTAGCTATCTCGCCAGTCCATTGGCGCACTGACTGCTGCCTAGCAATGAGCTATTAACATTGGTTCTACTGTTGTGTGACCTTAAGCGAGANCTCGCGCCGACCACACTGAAAACAAGTCGCGTGTTAGCTATCTCGCAAGTCCATTGGCGCACTGACTGCTGCCTAACAATGAGCTACGAGTATTAACATTGGTTCTACTGTTGTGTGACCTTAAGCGAGGTGTTTATGGCGCCGTTACCTAGCTATACACGTTACAATATTATATCGGTTAAATCATGACCACTTCCTTATATTTGGTAGGATTCCTTGGGTGGGAAATTTGTTAATAGAAAGGTTTCTACGTACACAGGACCACATAAACGGTGGCAAAAGGAGAATGAATATCCATGCTCCTAGTGGGATTCGAACTCACGATTCCGGTGTTCAAGCCAAAGAAAAATTACATATCTTAGCAATTTATGTAATAACCCAATTGATATATTTAGCTATGCTAGGCGTAGTTGGTTGAGACACTGTACTGCAAGCCAGAAGGTCGCGGGTTCGAGTCCCGATGAGGTGGATTTTTCAAATTTCCAAATCGTTCCAGTCGCACTATGACCCTGAGGTCGACTCAGCCTATAACAGAAATGGGTACCAGGAATTTTCCTGGGAGGTAAAAGGCGCCTGGTGCATAAGGCTGACAAACTTACCACCGTCTGTGAGCCGATTGTGTAGAGGAAATGTGGGAGCCTTGATGTTTCACAATCTTACGGTCTTACACGGCCTGCTACAGGATTAGCTTTACCTTTCTTACCTCTTTAGGTTTCATGCATGACAACATGTTACAGGGTGTCACCCGAAAACAGTATCTATATTTCGGGCTGCTAAAAATATATTTTTCAGTACGAGTGCAGCACCCTTGAAGAAACCTACGCATTAGATGTACACATTTCGTTTAAATTCCACGTACAAAATCTAACTTAGACCTACACTGAGACTTCTATAAAATATCACGTCAACCCCTGATCAAAGGGACATAAATGATCACCGAAACGTTCCAATTTAAGTCCGCTTTGACACAGCTTATTCCCCGAGAAGACTTTCTTGTACGAGGCGCTTCTATATGCGAGGGAGAGTCAGTAAACAGATCACAAATAGAAGTAAAACAGCTGTAATGGACGTAATATGTTTTCCATGTGTATCACTAGGTAGCAGCATAGTCCAACTTCATAACAGTCTAGGTAGCTGACCGGCATGAGCATGTTCAGAGGCTGGTTTTAGTAGTCAAAATGGCGACAGTACTTGATACATACTACCGAAGAGTAGTGTTTTGTTGTACGTTTTTTGTGGGAAAAGGACTCAGTGTAAAGGATATTCATGAAGAAATATTTCCAGTTTATGGTGGAAAGTGTTTGTCGAGTAAAACGGTTCACAACTTGAAACGGAGGTGCGGGAAGTGGCTGAGACAACAGCCAAAATGACTTCTATTCTGCTAGTTTCGACGTACAGGTAAAATGATGGGAAAAGTGTATCAATGTTGGCGAAGAACTTCTTTTCCAAATTCGAGTATCACATGTTTTGCGTTTTATATCCATTTGTGACCTATTTACTGACACTCTCTCGAAGTTTTCTTCAGCCTCTCTCTGCTTCCTGTCTCATGCGTTCCCTCGCATTTTCCTCAGCACACTGTTGTAGAACATTGCCACCAAGCAGGTTAGTTTAGTGGTAACACCATAGACTTGTATTTAGGAGGTGCTGAGTTCAAATCTCGACTGAGGCGCCGGCTATTCTAACTGAAGATTTTCCTCAGTCCTTCCAGGCAGTTACCATGATCGTACCTCGATTGGCCGTGCCATTGCTCAGGCGGTTAGTCGCCGGCTTCCCACCGCAGCGATCCCAGTTCGACCCCAGGTCAGGTCATGTGGAATTTATGGTTAACAAAGTGGAAGTGGGGCAGGTTTTCTCCGAGTATTTCGGTTTCCCGTGCCAATTATCATTTCACCGACTGCCCCACATTCATCAGCTATCATCCGGGGCTGGTACAATAGGTCACTTAGTGGCCCACGTACTAAGTGGACTCAGTCTCACCCCACCCCAAGAACTACCTCGATTAGGATAAGACGGGTTTCTTCCAGATCCTTTCCAATTCCTCAATCATCCTACCGTTCGACGCCGTATAGTCTAAGCTACTGACAAATTTTCTTAAGGTGAAATACTAATTTCCACAGCCATAAAGGCAGCTAGTAAAATTTCATGAGATTTGACTTTCTCATAGCGGTGGCTAGTAAAAATATAATCTGTGATAAGACGCCATGTAGTTTGGTAGACGGACCAACACGTCCCTCCCGGAACTTTGGTGCGTCAGGTAGCGTCACAACCCAGAGGACATTCGTGAGGAAAAATAATGTATTTGTATACTTTAATTTGTATGTTTTAGGACACGCTGTTAATGGGTATATGGGGCTCCTTTCCCGAAGGTAAAGTTGCAGTGGCGTGAAGCTGACAACGGAACTTAAGGCCGGGATTTGATTCCGGGCAGCGACAGGAGATTTTTCTGTACTTCATAGCGACCAGACCGGTCCACCCAGCGTCCTATCAAAGGGGTACCTGGGGCTGTTTCCTCGACGGTAAAGCGGCATGGTGTGAGGCTGACCACACCTCCATCTGGTGTCGAGGTTAAGAATGACGGAACTATACCTCCACTTCCTTAAGCGTCTTCATGGCCTAGTGCTTAATTAAGCACAGGGACAACTTTTAAATTTTTGGAGATGGTAAAACGCATATGTAAGGTAAATTGATTTGAATTATGTACACTAATTAGGGCTATGTTT